AGTCAACAATCCCAGTATCAGAATGTAGTCAGGATTAAACGAATATGCCTGAACCATGATCGGCATTAAATAATCCAGAGTGTCCCCAACTTACAGTGGTTTGACTTACTTTTTTTTGACGTTAGGATTGTCGAAAGCCGTACACAGTCAGTAGAAACCGTACTTCAAATTTTTTAATTTGCATCTTTGCCACGGCTAGCGATACGCCTACAACCCTCTCTCAGGATGCTGGGCAGCGACAGCAACCCACAGCTCCCAGTGAGCCGGGCGTTCACAAGGGTGAACAATCGGTACACTTACATCCGTTCTGTTGTTCACTCTCAGGATAGTATCTAGTAAATTACATGAGATGGTCAGCACTTTATTAAAACACAGGCTATGTGTGAGATGATGTTGCCCAACTGTAGACTAGTGTGTTTGAGCACATTTAAGGTAGGCTTGGCTAACTCATGATGTTTGGTAGGTTAGGTGTATTAAATGCATTTCCACCTTTCAATATTTTCATCTTAAAATAGGTTTATCAAGGGGGGCGCCTGGGTGGCTCAACTGGTTGAGCGTCTGACTCTTGATTTCGGCTTAGGTCATGATCTCAGAGTCCTGGGATCGAGCCCCAGGTTGGGCTCCACACTCAGTGAGGGGTCTGCTTGTCTCCTCCCTCTGCCTGTCTCCCTGCTTCTCTCTCTCTCTCAAATAAATCTTTAAAAAAAAAAATAGGTTTATCAGAACATAACCCCATTGTAAGTTGAGGAAAATCTGTAGTTCATTTTTTTTGAAAAAAAAAAAATGGAAGTAATTTGTAATTTAAATTTTATTGAAAAGTAATAGAACTCTCATAGATGACATAATTTTTCAAAATTAAGTTTTTATGTAAGTATGCAATGTTGAGGGATTTTTTTTTTTTTCTTTTTATGCAGTAGACTAAGTGCTGCCAGTTACCCATCTAGGATACCGTTCTAAAGTGGTATAAAAAAGATATAGCTGATCTAATTTGTGGTTTTGTGCTGTATATTTAAACATTTTTGTACATTTAAACTCTGGTTTTAAGATGTTAACATAGTATGGCATGAGAGCGGGGTTTCTGAGCCATAGTGTGCTCAGGTTCGAATCCTGGCTTCACCAGCTTTGTACGTTGTTGGGCAACTTACTGAAACTCTGCGCTGTGGTTTCCTCCTGTGTTAAATGGGGAGAACACCAGAGCCTGCCTCGTAGAGCTGTCACAAGGACTAAGTGAATTGGTAGCCTCTATAGCAGCTAAAAAGATGTCTACCTCATAGTAAGTGCTCAAAAATTTAGCTTTTTATTATGTTGAGAATGAGGATTACATTTGTATTTGAGATACCCACTATTACTGGATATATTTAAAGAAATTCTTTCCCAGACTGAAAGATGAACAATCATAAGTCAATCAAACATAAGATATGAAGACTATTTTTTTAACCTTTTTTCCAGCATTTTTGAAATTGAAAGAGCTACCCAATATGCTCTGCATGTTACAAAGATAAATAAAACATTTCCCTGTTCTCTAGAGGTGAACAAGGGTGAATAAACCAATTGAAGTGGGTAAGGAGTAAAGGCTCAGCATTGGCTCTGTGAGAAACTAGCCAGGGCTGAGATTCTAACCGGGCATGTGGCTTTCTGGCACATACGACACTTTCTAGGACTTGTTCTCCGAATTCGCCTCCAGACTCAGTTTATAGTCTTTGTTGTAAAGTGCATATTGCCATTCTAGGGCTAGTTACATGGTTGGGTAGAAGGTATATCTAGTGTTCCTGTAGCGTAATGAACCAAAAACTCAAGAAGCAAACCTTTGGCAGAGCAGAGTATCGGATTTTAGTTTTCATCATTTGTGTACTTGACGTTGAACTTGGCTGGTTGTCACTATCAGCCATTGAATAAGAAGGGATTACGTGCTCCCCTGCCAGCCCGTGGGTGGACTTCTGCAGCGTGTGTCCTGTGGCTTCAGCCATTTCCCCGGCCTCCCCCAGCCTCCCCCAGCCCGTCCTACACAGCACACCCTAGCCTGTCCCCCAGAGGCTTCCTACTCAGGCGGGGAGAGAGTGAAGTCAGTGAGCAGCAGAGGTGCATAGTGTTTTGCCATTCCCTCCTGCATTGATTTACAAGGTCGTGTTG